GCTGAAAACTGTGCCTCCATGCAGCCCCTTATACTGTTTTATCATTATAAGTTAGCTTTGCCATCAGTATTTCCTTTATCATCAGTGGTTATGCATTGTGATTGTAACACGTTGCAGCCATCGCCAAGCAATGTTGCAACTGTCTAGGTCTTGGTCAGTTGCAACACCTGACTCTGCATTCAGATGAAAACTATCAAAATTGATCTTTCTTTAATCAGTTTTTGACGGTTTGGACTGGTAACTGAAAGCCTGAGTCAAATGCAAAAAGGTTTGGAGCTGAAGTTGTTCTTCCCTACTGTTTCAGAACATATTTTGAGTTATAAAACAGGAGGCTGTGCGTGCTGAGAAAATTAACAAAGCAAAAAAAAATGGTGATGAATGCAGTCAGACAAGAAGCCCTGTAGGTGTTATCCAGTGAAAACAGATTGTGGGTTCTTTTAAACTGAACTAGTCAAACATGTGCAAACCAGCAGCCAAGCCACCAAAACACTGCTGTACAAACTGTTCCTAAAACCTGCTCATTTGAAAAGGGCCATGCATGTGGGCAACTGAAAGCTCATCTTTGTTTCAGTTCAATATGTCCTTTGGACTGATTCATAGATGTCAGAAAATGACACCATATTTGCATGCAAATCATACCAAAAGGCTATTATTATAAAAATAGAAAGAAGAACAAACAAATGAGGACAGTTTCCAGTGTTTCAATCTTTTTTCTCACAAGCATAAAACAGTGTCAACATGTATTAATAACACAAAGAATGATCTTCTAATTAATTTATAACAGGAAAACAATGCAACAAATACATACATATATCTGTAGGCACATGTAAAAACAAGATGTTTCAAATTAAAGGGCTGTCCTTTCTTTAAATGTTAATATATCTACTTGTTGTGGGAACAGCAAAGCCAACTTTATTCCATCACTCCATCTGCATGTGGAACAGCATTTAGATGAAAGTTAGCAGATACAGTGTATGCTTGAATGAGGTTTTGATATATCTGTGAGTATCTGGCACATGTTCTCACTTCTTTGACAAGTCATCTTGTTCTATTTTCTGCCAAGACTTAGATATAGAGATAAAGATCTGGTGGAGGGACGTACAGGAAACAACATCTGCACTTCTCTTTCTCTCTGTCTCTTGTGACATTATTTCAGCTCTGCTGGTTCCTTGGTAGTTCATCTATATTCTTCATCTAAGTACGTTGAAATCATAGCTCTCTGAGGCGGATTTGGACTTTATCTGATTGAAAAATCATCACCTAGACATCACCATGTCAAGTGAGTGAAATTTAAAATGATTGCAAAGAGCTTTGGCGACTTTTTGAAGTTGAGTTTTTGAATCTTTTTGAAGATCTTTGTGTATTTTTAGGTTGATTTTGAGATATTTAAATCGTAACTTTTTCTGACATTATGTAAGAGTGCTGTTGATTACCGATTCATATGCTTAACGTGATGACTTTATTGTAGTGTTTTATTTTTTGTTTAGTATATATAGTATTGTTACAAAATAAAGATAAAATTATTCTATTTTATCTGTAAATATTCTATTAATAAGTGGTATATTTTTTAGGAATCTTGCTTTGTAGTCAATTCAGTAACTTTAAATGGTGCTTATTATAAATAAAGATGATCTCAAGAGAATACACAAGATTAGATATGTCAATTTTATTTCCAAGTATAATAAAGACCATTCAGAAAAGAATAAATAAACATTAATCAAGTTACTTTCAATGCAATTCTATTCAGTCATGTTGTCAATCACGTTTGGAGAGTTATAATGGTGTCAACTCAAAATTCCAATATATAATACAAAATTACTAAATATTCATTTTTAAACATCCTTCCTATGTGTCTTCTCAAAATGTCGTATCAAAACAAACGTTGCATAATTGAAAAAAATAACAAATGGGCATGGGGAATTAAAAATACACACTTGAGAAATTCACCAAATTCCCAAATTTTGTAGCTGCTATGGTAGAAATCTCTGTCATCTCTGCAGTTCTATGTCCATGGTACATCCAGGAAAATCTGATCCGCTCCACCTGAGTGAACGGGAAGTGCTACGTAATTGCAAAAGCTAGGAGAGGCGGAGGGGCAGATCATTAAAATGTTTTAGGGCAATGACAATATCTTAAAATGAACCTTAAAATAAGCAGGCAGCTACTTAAGGAACTATATGCACTCTTTTTAATGTACTAATTAAAAGATTGAAGAGACTGGATACAGAATGACCTTCTGTAGACCTCAAATGTAAAAAAAACAACAAAAAGCACAGCTTTGTTCTTTATGTCATTAAAATAAAGAGGTGTAGGAGTCATCCAGTACTGTATTTCTTGAAGTCGCTTGAGCAATGATCGCATTGGGAAAAAAAAGAAAGAAAGAAAATGAACTTTATTCATCTCACATTGAGCAAATGTACTTCTGCATTTAACTCATCCCCTTGGGAAGCAGTGGGCTGCCATTGATGGCGCCCAGGGAGCAGTGTGGGGTAAAGTGCCTTGCTCAAGAACCTAGTGTGCAGGCTGTGGGGATCAAACCAGGTATTTGCAACCTTCTCTGAGCACAAGCGCACTGCTCTAACCACTAAGCCAACACACCCTCAGTCGGTTTCTTCTTGTGGGGAACATAAACCTGGCAATCATCCACATAAAAAAGTCCCATTTGTTAAGGCAAAAATAATGAAAAGAGCTGAGGCCCGAGACGTGAGCCTTGTGGGACCCCACAGGAAAAATGGAAATGGAAGAGGCTTTTATATTGCCAAGATTGACTCAAATATCAAATGCAGCTCTTGAATACAATAACAAAAAATTTTTTTCTAATAGAATGTGAATAAAAATCCTTATTAGCACAGACTCTATCCTTTAATTTGGCTTGAAACCAGACTGACAGACCTCTGAAATGTTATGCAACAATATAGATTTCCAATATAGACCTATAGAGGATTTTCTCCAACATTCTTAAAAGAAGAAACAGGTTAAAGATTGGCTTTGGATTTGCTGTACATTTGGATAAAGGTTGGTCTTTTTAAATCAAAGGCTGTAATATAGGAAGTTTCCAGTCATTTGGGAAAAACACTCAGTGACAGATTATATCTAATAATCCCTTTAAAAAAGTTTTGTCACCAGTAATTTTTTAAAAGGACGCCTTATATAAGAAGAACTTATAAGAAAAACATTAAGAAAAGTAAAATTGGTTTAAAACAAATTAAGAGGTTTGTGGAAGGTTTTGTAGAATGTTTGACAAGTATTTCCTTGAAGCATAGTTTAAAACTGAATGATAATGATGCCAAAAGTCCTTTAAATTTTGACCATACCTGCAGCCTGCCCTTCCACTTTCTGCTGCCTTTCAATTTAGTTGCACTGCTCCCAACAACCAGCAGGTGGCACAACTCTCATATGGAATCTGCCTTATCTTCAGCTGCAACTGCTGGTGTTGTTTTGTTTGCAAAGACGTCTGTTTGTAAAAAACTAAGAGGATCTGTGATGCCCATTCCACACATTACACACAGAATTAGAGAGGCAACCTAAGACACAGTCACTGAAACATTTTGTCTGAGCACTGCACTGAATCCTATCCTTGCAAAATGTGTTTATCTCTTTTTAGTTTTAGGTTAGTCGTGTAAACCAGGGACAGCATTTATCAGAAAACAAGCAGGCTCTGCAAAAGTTTTAAGATTTATATTTCAGTATCTGCTCACAGAACAGCCATTAGCTGTTCACTCTACAAATCTTGCTTTTATTTTGGAGGGACAAGTAGAAATAAATTTTTGATAGAAAGTCACACTTTTAGGTTGCCGTTTACCTAAGAAAACATGTTGGAGAAGGTATTCAGGCTACAATAAAACCAGAACTGAAATCTTACAGACATACATTTCAGAATTTGTTGCAGGACTTAAATATTACAATTCACAGGTACTTTTCATGAAATCTTACTGAGCTATTTTACAGAAAGACGTTGGCAAAAATACACTTTTTAGATATGCAAAGCTGCTAGAAACAATTCAAACAAACTACAAGTGATCCAAAGTCATAATTCTAAAAAAAATGTGGTTCTGGATGCAATGACTTTCAGGTTTTTATTTGTTTTATTTGAAAACCTGTATCATTTTTAAAGATCCATTCCAGAATGATTTTTTAATAATTGAATCTCTTTTCACAGATACCACTGATGATGTCTTTTCGACAACGCCTGATTATTCATCGTACTATGAGAACAGTAATGACAGCTTTGATCCTTGTCCGGAATACGATTTCAGGACATTTTATAGAGGGTTTCTGGTGACCATTTATATTTTGGTTTTCATCCTGGGCTTCTTAGGTAAGTATGTCAAAAAGACTCCAAAGACACACGTATAATAACCAATTATACAAGTAAATATTATGTTGTGTCTTTCTGTTTAACAGGGAACAGCCTTGTTGTGTGTGTTCTGATGAAACACCGTAACCAGACTAACATGACCGACAAGTGTCTTTTACACCTCGCCGCCTCTGACATCCTCTTCATCATGACTCTTCCATTCTATATCCAATACGTTGTGGTTAATGAATGGACCCTAGGTGACCTCATGTGTCGTTTCCTTTCATTCGCTCATCACACTGGATTCTACAGCAGCATCTTTTTCATGGTTATTATGACACTGGATCGCTATGTGGTCATCATGTACTCTCACAAGGTGGCACAGTATCGCACGAGGAAGGCGTGCTATACTCTGATTGCAATTGTTTGGTTTCTGAGCATCCTGGTATCTCTGCCCACTTTCATCTTCTCAGAGTTAGATGATGATGACCAATCTGTGACATGTTCCTACAACCCGGAAAAAGAGAACTGGCGCTACTATGATCTATTGGCAACAAATATTCTGGGCCTCGTGGTTCCCATGCTGGTGATGGTGGTTTGCTACTCGAGGATAATCCCCACTCTGGTCAGGATGAGGACAGTCAAGAGGCACAGGGTTGTTAAACTCATCATCTCCATAATGGCCATCTTCTTCGTATTCTGGGCTCCCTATCACATTTCCCGTTTCTTGAAGTTTCTGTTTGAAAAAGACATAATAACAGGCAGTTGCAGCTTTGAGACAAACATTAAGCTGTCAACTACGGTGTCCGAGACAATTGCCTACACTCACTGCTGCCTGAACCCAATTATATATGCCTTTGTGGGCCAAAAGTTTATGAGACGAGCCCTACAGCTGCTGAAGAGGTGGGCTCCTGGTCCAGTGAGTTTCACAGAGAGCTCATTCAGGAGAAGTTCGGTTCTGTCTCGGTCCTCTGTCACCTCCACCATCGTCATGATGTAGCTATATTTGATTGACTTTAAATATTTGCAGAGTCTAATCAGCGATTAAAAACCAGTCAGTGTTAGTGTGGCGATTTAATCTTTAGGACAGTACTAATATCAGTATTTGAACTTCATGCAATCTCTGTGCATCACTCAGTACCATCACTTCCTCCTACTTTAGACATCTGAGACAGAAAGCACATTGGACATAAATATCAGTTTGTAACAGCTTTTAACACGCAGGTATATACTGTAACTTCAGATTTCATAGCTCTTTTAATGTCTTCACACATTTGTGAGCTGGTGAAAAAAAACAACAGTTTCACAGCATGAAGCTTTTGCATCAAACTCTGCAGTGTTTTGCATTTACTGAAGGAATTCTGCTTAATATGCAATTGTACAATCTGTCAAAATGTACAAAGAAATTCAAAAAGAGTTGTAATATTTTTCCTATATGCTGTAATATTTTTTGCTTTTTATAATAAAATAACTGAGTAAATGTGTGTATTTCCAAATCTGTCATCTCTTTTATTGCGGTGGATAAGAATGTTTGAGAAAGTGTATATAAGTCAGAGTATTTTTCATTTAATGAATTCTCTTTTAACCTGCCAGATTAGCTAGAGTGGCTTGCTTTTGAAACATGTAATCTTTTGTTTACTGATAAACACTGTAAAACTGAGAAAAGTTCCACACCTCACATGAGTCTTCATCAGTAGTTTTTCTCGGTGTAGATCTCTCTCTTTTTTTTATATCAACCACTTAAGATGATTTTGGGATTTCCTATAGACCAGCAGCGTCAAAATCATTTTAACTCAGGCCACTTTGGCATCATCCAGTCAATAAAAGGGCCAGTTGCAGATGTATAAATGTCATTTTGGATTTTATCATTTAATTTCCAAAGAGCCCACGGCTATGTTATTGTAACTTTACCTCTTTAATTTAGCAGTATTAACTGCTTTGCACATTTTAAAATAACATATTGCTCTATTTCATGACATGATATGCTTTTTTTGGCTCTTGAGGGCCGGATAAATTGCTGTGGTGACCTGGATTCAACCCGCAGGCCTTAAATGTGACTCACCTACTACAGACCAGGTTTGTTCAGTGTTGGTCCTTGAGGTCAGATATGTATCCTGAAACTTTTAGATGTGTCTCCACTTCAACACCCCTGAATCAGAATATCAGGTTAT